TCGTGCATGCCGTAGTCGTTAGACCATTGACCTCGCATTCCTACCATGCCGGGACGGAGCACGCCGGGTTCTCACCGAACCAGGCTCTCACATCACCAAGCGCGAAGCGCCGTGTGTTATGGCATGAAGGGTGCGCTGAATCCTGCTAAGGGTGTTCGGTATCTTGTGCTTTCTTCCTTGCGTACGGATGACAGCTGCGTATGACTTAGTATATTTTCTGGTGCTTTCACTTCCGGAGACAATTGCAAGCTCTGTGTAACTGCCTCGAGGATACTTGACCAATTTCAACACAACGTGGTGCGATCATCCCCTTTGCGCGGAGTGAGTTCTCCACCCCTCACAACATGATCTACTCGACCACCGTTCATGGTTACTGCAAAAAACAACAAAGCCAAAAAAGAAGCGGTAACGTGGTTGCCGAGCGCACGAAGTGATCGGCTTTTTTTTCAAGATCGCTGCCAAGCGACGAAAACCCAACCCCAATGGCAAACACCGGGGAGGGCGGCTTGTTTTACAACGTCGTTGCCAAGCGACGAAAACCCAAACCCCAATGGCAAACACCGGGTTGAGGGGGGGGAGCAAGAAATAGCAGAACTGCCGTGCAAAGGTTGCATGTACTCTATTATTGACGTCGGGGGCGCCTATCCGCTGGCCAATGAACTACCTTGCATTCGAGGAATTGTGCCTTGTTTATTTTTATGGAATCGTTTTCGCTCGGGAGGACCGCACGTTGTTGCACCGCACCATGCCAGCAACTGGCCCAACCGAGGTGAGCGGAGCTTTGGACCCTGCTCTTCCTGTCGCACGCGCGCGCCCAGCCCCTGGCCAGTTCTTCATTCCTTTTTTCGTCAGCAGTCGGCCGCCCCAGTGGGGTTGCTCGTGCCCGCGCTTCTCGTGGGGGGCTGGCTGAACTGCTGGCTGTCCAGTTGCACCGAAGTGCCGCGTTTCTCCTCGAAGGAAGGAAGGCAGAAAGACTGCTGCTGCTGCTGTTGATGTTGATTTCACGCGAGCGAAAGCACACCCCACCGAGATAACGTCGACGAAGGGTGCTTCCGAAAAGGTCGTGCGTCGAAAGCGGACATGAGTACCTTGTTCCGTCTCCTCCCCAACTGCAACCTACAAGAGCTACATTGGATGCATCCCGCCCCCCCCCCCCCCCCCCCCCCCCCCCCCCCCCCCCCCCCCCCCCCCCCCCCCCCCCCCCCCCCCCC